ATTGAGAGACAATATATATCGAGAAACTTCACTACTTCCGTAGAATCTATGTAGTTAATATGGAAAGCTAACTTGATGCTAAATATTAACACTTGCTCCTCTTCATCAAGGTTCAACCTTTTATTATCTCCTCGAGGAGTAGACTTTAACTTGGTCCATGTTTGGGAAGTGATTAAGTGATTATAAGTTGTGGTTAATAAGTGAATGGTAGTTGTGGATCTTGCGAGATGTGATTACTTCCCAAACTTTCAATTAATTTAATTGCCAATAAAATGTAAAAAATATCAACCATAGATTTATTGTCCTCCGTGCTGAATCTTACATTTCCTCTTTGGCACAGTCTGTCTTCTAATTTGTTATTTGGTCATTCTAATTCATATGTTGTTCTTGGTGGGATGTCTTGTGTTCATGTCTAAGGTTGAACATTCATTTTCTTCAAAGTTCTCAACTCTAAATATATACTGATTGATTCTCTGTGTCTGTGATATAGGCTATTGGCAATCTCAAATTTCCCCGCCCGTAGGCAAAAGGTGATAGATAAAGTGAGACGAACTGCTGATGCCTTGGCGCGTCAACTTGAAGAGGCGATGCAAAAGGAGTTATCGGAGACCACTGAAAATCTAAACAAGTTTGCAGAACTTGTAGGCAAACCATATAAAGATATGGCACAGAATCGAGTCGATAAGCTTTCCAACACTCTCGACGAGTTAACCACTATTGAGGAAAAACTCAAAAAATTGCAAATCGAAATCCAAAATCTTCATGTATCAAGGTAGCGATGAACCTTTATCTTCCCATACCAAGGGAAGTCCAATGTTGTAGCATTGATTTTGTGTGATGAAGGATTCTCTGCTGCAATTAATAAAATGTTTTAAAATTATTTTTTTTTTATCATTTTATGGTGTTTATAATGTAAAACACGACCCTAACTAATAATGGAGGAGATTTTAGCTTTAAATTATTAATCCCTAATTAAAAAGAAATTAGTAGTAATGAAATGATAAATTAAGCCCTTGTTTGTTTCTCCTTTTTGGAGAATGAAAAATATAGTCGTTACGGATCCTGTACAGGATATAGATATTCAAATTTGGTGGCTTGATGTGATTGATAACAGTCATATTTTTCATTTTAACGAGAAAAGAATGGAAACCAAACAAGGGTTAAATTTAATTAAGATCTAAATATGGAAATAAATAGAAGAAATTATGTATCCTTTTGCCTATCAATGAGGAGTATTTCTATTTGTAAGTGTTGACACGCTAAAAGTGCAGCCCATATCGAATAGCCTAAAGAATGAAGTCCAACCGGACAATTCAGGATAAAGACCCGAATAGGGTTATCAATGAATACAGTGGAAGCCCACGAACGTGGTAACACCATCGCTCAAACTTGCAAGACGCCCAAGATCTGAGCGAATGAAGTACCTTGCAGTCGCCTAGAGTTATGATCATGTTTTCACTCAAACCTTCAAATCGCCCAGGATCTTGGCAAACAAAAGATGTTATGGTTATCCAAAAGTGCAGTTATCGAAGCATTTATTGGGTAATCTTATCACGTTTCACGATTCAAGGATGTTCAGTTGAAGACGGTTGAACGACAAAGAGTAGTGGCAACAGTAAGGGACGGTAGTTCCACGATAAGTTGGCCACCATGAAGAAAGTTGGCAGTTATAAAGCAATTAAGCGGTTTCTAAGCGGTTGATCACGAAGAGATCATCAAGGGAATATGAAAGGAAGAAAAGACATAGAGCAAAAGACCCCGAATCAAACATTCTCAAATAGAGAATATGTAATTTCAATTCTTTAATTTAAACTTAAAATATTTTTTTCAGTACTTATGTGCTTGCGCTCTTTGGAGGCATTCTGTTTAAAGTTCCAATTGTAAAGTTATTACCAATAAAACACCCCTTTTTGAGACTTTGTCTCAAGAGGTTTGTTCCTTACACAATCGTCTGATCCCTTTTAATTGTTAGCGACTACCCGCGAGAAACAATTTGGCACGCCCAGTGGGACAATTGGTGTTCGGTGTTGAAGATACAAAAGGTAAAACAATATGCCTCAGAAATCAGATAAGGAAGCAGCAAGTCAGAGAGGAATCCAGTCTGTGATCGAGCGATATGAGGAGCAGCATAGCTCTTCACGAATAGATGGACAGAATCAGAGTAATCATAGTCGTTACGAACAAATGACGGAGTTGAGTCCTCGAACCATGCGTGCATTACTCGGAGAACTCACACAAGACGTCGTTGAACAAGAAAATCTACGAAATATTCATAATATGGAAAAATTTACCCAGAATGGGAATGTACATTATGACAACATGGCCAAACAACTGAATACTTTGAACGAAATAATGAATAAGTTAGTAGGCCAAATTAGTCAGCCAGTTGTGCCTCTTACAAACCACTTTCAAATTAGGACAATTGTGGGACATAATCCCCTGGTCCTAAGTTTAAATCAAGGGGTAGAACCACCTTTTGATCCCTCTATTTCAAACCAGGGGGTGGTGTAATACCAAATCAGAATAGTGACATTGATACATCTAACTTGGGGGTAACCTAAATGTAAGAGTTAATGTCCTAAATAATGGGCAGAATACCCCACGTGTCAATGATGGAATAAATGTTCAGGCTAATGGTAACAATGACCCAAATCATGGTAACTTTGTTGCCAATCAAGGACCAAACATCAGACCTCAAGCAAATCAACCGGTCAACCAACCTGCAGGAATTCCATAGGACCTCAACGTCATGTTAAGGAATCAGATTATGGAAATTGTACAGGACCAGATGGCTTTTGGAGTACGTCCTGTCATTAGGCTGACTTACACAAAGCCATATCCTGATTGGGTAGACCAAACATATCCATGGCCTAAAGGGTATAAAGTGCCAGAATTCTCACTGTTTACTGGTTTAGGAGAGGTGTCTACTCTAGAACACATAGGACGATTCACACTGCAAAGTGGTAACGTAACTGATTACCATAAAATGAAACTGTTCCCTAGTTCATTAACAGGAGTAGCCTTCTCCCGATTCATCAATTTGCCAGCAAACTCTGTTCAAACATGGCAACAATTGGAGCAATTGTTCCACGCTCTGTTTTATAAGATTGAGTCTGAAGTTATTTTGACTGATTTGACGAATCTACATTAAATGTCAAATGAATGGGCAAAAGGTTTCCTTCAAAGAATCAAGACAGCAAGAAGTAAATGTTTTGTACCTTTGCCCGAAAAGGAGTTTGTCAAAATCGCTCAAAGTTGTCTGAACTTTGATCTGAAGAAGGAGTTCAAGGGGACTTATTATAGAGACCCAAATTTTGATGTTCATACCATTAATGACGAGTATTACGATCAAATCGAAATGTGTTTGGCCGAATTAGTTAAAGGAGACACGTATACTTGTCCTATGATGGCTAAGCCTAGCCGTCAGGTAAGGATGAGCCTATAAAAGATGAAAACATAAAGGCTAGAACGTTCTCGTTTGATGTAACCAAAGCTGACCTTATATTTGATAAATTATATAAGGATAAGCAGATAAAGCTGAACGATAAGCATAAATTATCAAGCCCTGAACAAATTAAGGGTAAAAAATATTGTAAGTGGCATAATGCATGGTCACATTTGACTAACAACTGTTTGGTTTTTCGCCATGTGTTACAGGATGCCATTGAAAAAGGATGAATTACGTTCGAGGATAAGAGGAAGATGGCAGTGGATGAAAATCCTTTTCCACAGCCACTTGGAGTGAACATGGTGACGTCTGGTTTCAAAAACAAGTTGCCAAAATTCAAGTTGGTTATAGATGATGGAGAAGAAGACCTTGGACCACATCCCAGTGTCTTTGAACGTATCAAAGGAAAGGAGCTCAAAAAGGACGAAGACGTCCTATGTGCAAGATGCAAAGAAGAAGTGCGTGCAAATGCAGAGAAACCAAGGATATGGCAGCATCGCCATCGCCCTAGTTTTTTCCCAAACGCTTAGCCTGGTAGAGGGCGAGGTACATTGTTCTATAAAGGACCGCCTTTTGAGAGGCAGTTCTAGCCAGTAAATAAGGGGAGAACATTCAGACTGCAATCTCGCCAACCAAATGTATGACATTCGTTCCAATATAAGGCTGGAAGGGCGATACCTTTCAACGAGATGACTAGGACCCAACAGAGGCGTTTTCAACGGAATTATGGGTGAATGATGAGGCAACAATAGGGAATGCTACGTCCTAAGGCATCTAGGCTACTCGAGGCAGCCAATCAAAATGTTCTCAAAGACAGTGAAGAGACTGGTACAAGAGAACCTATGGAAGAATTGCCAGAGACTTCTTCTGGGAGGTTGAAGTTTGAGCGAGACAGAAGGGATGGAGAAGATCCAGATTAGCCCCTTACTATTCAATTTGGTACGTTGTCTCCTGTCGTGGCTAATAACTATTTACTAGCCAATGAGTTCAAGAATAAAGAGAAGGGAGAAGAAGAAAAGGAGGATAACGAAGAGGAAGCATGCATGTTGGAATATGAAGAAGGCCAAACTTCTAGAGAGGTCTACAATGATGAAGAAGATGATGGTATGATAGACATCGAAGAGGAAATCGATCTAAAAGCAGAAAGAAGAAGAAGAGGAGTATCGTACAATAATCTGTTGAAGCAATTACATCGAGAGGGAGTTCGTGAAGTAGACTTATTGGGAGAACCATCTGGGCGCTCTTTCGATTTTTACGTGCTGTAGGGACACCCAAAAGGAAGAAGAGAGTGCCTCGCTCTGAAAATTATGGATCACCTCTAAGAATAATGCCTCCTCCCACAAGTTGGGTAATTGAAGAAGAAGCATTAGAAAACAGTAAAAAGGAAATTCAGGAGATAGAGGCTCAGTGCGATATGCTGCACGTTGACTTATCACAAAAGGGTAACTCGACAGAGGACAAGCAAGAAGTGAAAATAGATACTGCCGAAAAAGTTATTTTTAAGCGACTAGCCATGAAATTGACCAAACACTTGAGGCCATTGTACGTTAAAATTCTAATTAACGGCATACCTGTGGCGAAAGTGCTTGTCGATAATGGAGCAGCTATAAACACCATTCCATCTAGGATGATGAGAAAATTCGCAAAGACAAAAGGTGATATGATCCCAACGGAAGTCATCCTGACAAGTTTCAATGGAGAAGCAACTTAAGCTAATGGGGTTATGCCATTGGACATAACTATAGGAACAACTACTAGGACCACATTTTTCTTTGTAATAGATAGTCTCACTAGTTACAATATGTTATTAGGAAGAGATTGGATACAGGGAAGTCACTGTATACCTTCATCGCTCCATCAGTACCTAGTTTTTTGGAATGACAAGGGCGAAGTAGAGGTGGTGCAGGCTGATCATAGGCCTTTTGTTGCACAAGCAAACTCAGTGGAAATGTTCATGTACGAAGGAAATTATGGACCAGTCAGAGTAGTCCAAGATAGAGAAGAAACTCAGATTGTCGCGCAGAGTGAAGAGCCGTTTTCGGTGGATGCACTCACTGAAATGTTTAGTCAGATGAGGCCAAACATAATGGCCCTGGAGGGGCTAGTAATTGACAAAAGAATAATCAAGGAATTTTAAATGAGTTGTAAGCAACAAAGACAAATGATCGATATTCAGGCCTTCAAAGTCAAATTAATGGCTTTCAATAAAGAATGCAAGGACAAGACAAAAGAAGCAACAGCCTTGAAAGCATTGAGAGACAAATTGGCAGTGTTCGAGTTGGAACAAAGCATTGGCCGAGAAGTCAACAAAGTGGATTGTTTAGAAGAAGAAGTGCCTACAAGGAACTGGACGACGAAGTGATAAGGATCGCCAAGCCTGGATACGCTCAAGCACAAGACCCCCTGATTAAAGTGAATATTGGCAATGAAGGAGAAGATCA